GCAAGTTAATGTTATGTAGTTGGGTTTTTACCCATATTGTTGCTGCAGAATAAAAGAAAATCTTTAATAATGAATATTGTGAGGTAAAGTCCATTTTGAATGTTCCCCGTCATTCCACTTGACATTTATGAGCATTTTTTTTGTTGCAAATACATGCATTGAATGGTATTATATTTTGCCCTTTAATTAATATCCCAAAGGCATCCAAAAGGTGGACCGTGTTCTATACTCTTACCCCATGCAATTGACGCATAATTGCAGCCAATGGAGCGAATGCAAAAACAAGGACAATTCTGTTTCTGGTATGCATATATAAATGGTGAACAGGTATGTCATCTATTCCCATGGATTCCCAATTAATTGAATGATATGCTACAAAAATATCGTCTTAAAAATGTCGTAAAGAGCACTTTAGATGGGCTTCCGCTTTCAGTATCTGCAATGAAAATTTTGAATCGATCTATACATATATCAATAACAACCCTCAAGATCCCTGCATGTAGCATCACACACTACTTTTGGAATGAAAGAATGCTACTTTCTTACCGAATAAGTTTGTCATAAGCCATTACCTTATTCAAATTTAAAACTTGAAATAAACGGTGAATAATGTAGCTAAAAACATCAAAATATCGTATATAGGGAGGAACCGCTATATCGGAGCTGTCCATAGATCTGAACCAGCATAGACAATTTTCTGTCACAGGCTGTAGCATTCATAACGAACTTCAAATACGACATCTCAAACAATTTCGGTGGGTATTATACCTAAACTCGTCAAAATACCGAATATAGGGAGGTACTGATATATGGGGACTGGGACTGCATGGACAATTTTCTGTCATAGACTGTAGTTCCTATTACGGACTCTAAATACGTAATTTGAAACAATTCCGGTGAATAATGACGCTAAAATCATCAAAATACCGAATATTGGGAGGTACCGTTATATGGGGGCTATACAAAGACGTAGACCTGCACAGACAATTTTCTGCCATAGGCTGTGGTATCCATTACGAACTTCAAATACCAAATATCAAACAATTCTGGTGAATAATGTAGCTAAAATCATCAAAACACTATACACTATAATTTACGGTAAAGTTGGTGTAGATGAAGCATCTTAGAAGAGACTGAACGTATCCCTCAAGATATAGGCATATATAATTGTAATACTTACAAATAATTCTGAAAGAACATATATCCTGTTTTTCCAATTTGTGTACGGAGCATTTCATTCTTGAAATTTCACACAGTAATGCAAAGAGATTATAGTGGCCTTTGAACAAAGCCACGAGGCAATTCAACTTTTCGTGCATTTGCGCTATATTTGCGTTCTCTGCTACATCTCCAGTATCTGTTAATACACATTAAAGGTAGCGGGGGCTGCAACGAATTTGTATGACACACTATTGGGTCTGAACGACATGACAAGACATTGAGATTTTTGTTGAATGCGTCTGATCAAAGAAGGCATAACATGACGAGCTTTTTCTCCCTATAACTTAAATAGAGAATTATACCGCATCTGGGGCTTATTCAAAATTTGTTTTTTTTTCTACCGTTTTCCATTCTATAATAGACATAATAAATAAATAAAAAGTCATCAATTTAACTGAAACATTTTTTTCCATTTTTATACCCTCCACCTTGGAAAGGTATGATTTGGTATAGCTCCCATGTAACGGTACCTCCAGATATTCGGTATTTTGATGATTTTTGTCACATTTTTTCACGGATTTGTCTAAAAATTGGTATTTGTTGGTCATAACGGGTTCTAGCTCCGGTGGCAAAACATTGCATGTAAAGGTCCACGATTTTGGTATTTGTTGGTTATAATGGGTTCTGGCTGCGGTGGCGAAACATTGTATGTAAAGGTCCACGTTTTGGTATAGCTCCCATATAACGGTACCTCCAGATATTCGGTATTTTGATGATTTTTGTCACATTTTTTTCATGGATTTATCTAAAAATTGGTATTTGTTGATCATAATGGGTTCTAGCTCCGGTGGCAAAACATTGCATGTATAGGTCCAAGATTTGGTATAGCCCCCATATAATGGTACCTCCCGATATGTGGTATTTTGATGGTTTTTGTCACATTTTTTCACGAATTTGTCTTAAAATTGGTATTTGTTGGTCATAATGGGTTCTGGCTGCGGTGGCGAAACATTGTATGTATAGGTCCACGTTTTAGTATAGCTCCCATATAACGGCACCTCCAGGTATTCGGTATTTTGATGATTTTTGCTACATTTCTTCGCGGACTTGTCTAAAAATTGGTATTTTTGTGTCCTAATGGGTTCTAGCTCCGTTGCCGAAATATTGTATGTATAGGTTCACGGTTTTGTTTGTCCCATATAGCGGTACCTCCCGATATTCAATATTTTGATGATTTTGCGACATTTTCCCTCGAATATGTCTAAAAATTGATATTTGTGGGACACAATGGGTTCTAATGTTTCCTTTACTCTAAGGTGAATTGTATTAAAAGTTTGGCTGGGCCAAACTTAATGTTTTTTTTACTTGTTTTGTATTGAGTTAATATACACGGAAACGTTTGCATTGAGTATTGTACTGTTTCATTTCCAATGTTGCGTCGTACTTCGAGAGAATACAGAACGAAACGACTGCAACCGTTTCCTATAGTTCTCTTTTCGTACGCTATTCACATGGATTCCAAATTAATTGATATGCTACAAAAATATCCTCTTAAAATGTCATAAAGAGCACTTTTGATGGGCATCCGCTTTCAGTATCTGCAATGCATTGCGTCATACAGCAGAGTAAATTTCTGTTTTGTTTTTGTTTCGACTCATCTACAAAAACAGTACGAAATAAAAACAAGTCCCGTTATCTTAATATTGGTTTTAATTCCTACTTCGAGAAAATACAGAACGAAACAACTGCAACCATTTCCTTTCTTTTTTCGTACGCTTATTTCTATTCATTGTGTTTTTAATAGAAAGTGACTTTCAGCGTCAGAAATATTTGCGTTTGAATGGTAGCCTATTTTGTCCTTTAATTAATATCCCATAAACATCCAAAAGGTGGACCCTGTTCTAAACTCTTGCCCCATGCAATTGGCCCATAATTGTAGCCAATAGAGCGAATGCATCAACAAGGACATTTCTGTTTCTGGTATGCATATAAAAATGGTGAACAGGTATGCCATCTATTCCCATGGATTCCAATAATTGAAAAAAGAAAATCATAGAACAACTTGATTGCTTCAAAACATTTTCCTTTATTTTTTTCGATAAATAAATCCCTCGATTTAATTTCATCAATTTTTTACACAGATTGTGTTGGAATACAACAATTTGTACGTTACAACACCCCAAACATGCGCTTCAACATGTGCTAATATTGTACAGAAATATCGAAACACAAAAGAAAATGTTTGTTAGTTAAAATGATAGTTCCTCCTCAAAACCGACATTTATTAAATCCGAACTCTGTTTTTAGTCAATTTTACGTATAAAAACAATTATTTTTAAATTAAATCGACTTAATACCACCAGAATTTCCTAGCTGACTTGTGATCTTAGGGCTACATACACTGGTGGCCAAAACTAAAGCAACTAAAATCGCAAAGACAATAAATGACGTGTAACTTTTACAAAAATAAACAAATCGTAGTTACTTTTCCAGTTTTAAATGAGATACTTTATTCACTTTAAAAAAACTAGAAATAAAAATACAAAAATAATTTTGAATGAAAAATAATATGTGGAAAACTAGAATGACCCAATATTTTTTTGGTCAAAACTAAAGCAACTTTTTTATTTTAAAATTATTGAATTTTGGTAGTAGTCGATAGCTTAACTATTATTTTTGATAGCAGCTGAACACTTACGAGGCATTGAATCTATTACACGCTCAATTTGATCCATGGGTATGCTATCCCAGGCATCCTGAATTCTTTGGTTAATTTGTTTCCAAATCCCGCTTGATCTTTCTGTCTACGGTACATTAAAGGTTTTCTATGGGGTTTAAGTCAGGTGATTGTACCGGCCGTGACAAAACACCTATTTTCGACCCCCGCAACCAATTGGCAAGTTTTGATGCATGTTTGGGATCATTGTCATGCTGAAATACCCAAATAAGCCGAATATTTTCCTCAGCGAAAGGGAAGAACGTTATTAAAAAAATTTTCATGTTCAGACCAGTTCTCACTACCTCTCTACGCACTGATCTCAAGCTTATATCCAATGATAGCTCTCTCACCAATTCAGTTGAACTCTTAAATGGTTGTTTTTTTTTTTTTTTTTTTGCTTTCATAATTTGTTGATCATTACGGGCTGAAGTTTTTCATGACCTTCTCCCGTTATAGACTGTTATTACTGATCCAGTTTCATAAAACCGACATAGTATACGAGAAATCACAGAAATATTTATGAAATATTTCTCGGAAATTATTTTCTGTGGTAGCTTGTTTTCATAGTCATTGATAACTTACTGTTTAATTAATGTACTGTAATTGCTTTTAGCCGTTTTTAAACTTTTTTGGGCAGAACTTAAAAAACGAAAAAAAAATACGTGTTGTTTTAAAAAACTTCTCAAAAATGATTTATGACATGCGAAATTGTTGAAGAAAGCAAAAAGCGATAAATATAACGGTAAAAACAACTGAAATTGCAGCGATCATATGAATGTACAACAGAGTTTGCTTTTGTTTTGTCCAAGCCAAAATCGGGTTAATTCACTTTATCATACATTATTTTTTATATAAAATTGAATTCTGGTTTTTTGTTTTAAGTTTTTAAAAAGTAAAAAAGTGCCTAATTTAAAACTAGCCAACATTCTAATTTCCTTAATTTTTTAAAAAAAGTTTCAAGGCATTCATTCTCTTTGCAATTTCAGTTGCTTTAGTTTTGGCACTAGTGTATATAAATGTAAATGTGACTGTTCATATTTGGAAGTTTCAATGTAAATAAAATGTATACATATTAATTTTCTCTTGTGCATTTTTTTATATATTTGTAATTAAATTATAGAACGTTTGCGAATGAAACTTCGCAGTTTCTTGCGCCATATGATCAATCTGTCAAGAGTCGCAGTGGCAATATGACTGAAGCTTCAGTTCCAGCAAACAATTATGGCGGTTCAAATCCAGGATTATTTGTGCCTCCACCACAATCATCTATTTCTAATTCAGAACTAACAAGTACTTCTCAAACACAGCAAATAAGCCGTTCCACAATGCGAGACACCATAGCAGCTCGAGTTGACGTCTGGAATCCATTTGAAGAACAACCATTTAGTCAAATGACCGAAGATAATATATTTGAAGCTGAATTCGATAAAATACGCCAAAGAGGAAGTCAAGGAAGTATGAATTCCTGAAGAAACCAGTATTCACAAATTTATGTTTATGTTAATTGTTTACATTTTATTAGGTATTAACACAAAGTCTGCCTCGACTACTTCCACTTTAACACCTACAGAGACAAATGTGGTTGGCACTGGATCTAATTCTACTGTTCCCCCAGCTACTGTTTCCAGTTCAACAACTACAGTTGGATCTACACAACAGGAAGATCCTTTTGGATCAGCACCCTTCAGTTTGCCTCCTGGTTTGAAGGAGAAGACGGCATCCCTACGTAAAACTGGAGGTAAATCATGAACTTACTTATCTTACTTTTCTCAGTGTTAATTCATTATGTAGAAAAACATTTTCCCTCGTCCTGAAGAGTAAAATAGAAAGATTCAACGTTCACTAATTGTAGTATTCAAAGCTAATATTGTGATTTAATGCTACAAATTGTGGTCATTAGTAACTGTTTAATGCATCTTTCTCCATTCCATATCAGATCTACATGTAAAAAGCTCTGATTCTCATTTTAACTAACATGGAAGTTATTAATTGTTTCTTTTGTTACCTTTCTTCTTACTCTCCCCTTTATGTTGCCTCAAAAGATAAAGACAGAATCGAGTAAATTCAAATATATATCACAATTCCTCAGTGCTTCGGGTTTTTGGTAAAGATTTTAAGCTCTCCTTTAAACAAATTACAATAGTTTTCAATCAACAGAAGTGACGTAGCGATGTTGGTCTTCAGTGAATTTTTGTAATAAGTGTTGTATGAATTTTGTTATCATCGTAATTCGGTTAAAAATGCTTTACATCATTTCTCATACGTCGGTTGTGGTGGTCTAATCTCCTAACACTTTATAACAAAACACATTAATACACGTTTAGTAGCATAGTTTACTATAAGAAAAACGAACAAAAAGAGTGCACGTATGCGAAATTTTTATTACTCTAAATTTAATTAAAGACAGTTATTTATTATAATCATATCATAGCACAACTTAGTTCTATTCTAAAAACTATTAATAAACAATATATTATGAGAGCTTTCCTCTCCATATGTTCTAATCACACAACCTGTTTGGTTCACATCATTCCTTTCTGTACAAAGCGATCGGTTTTGCAAATAACACAAAAGAACTAAAATCTATGAATCAGACTAGTCAATTGACAATACACTTCTTGTGCAAATATGCGACTTCTACAATTTCATCGGCATTATTATTTAGCAAATAGTCTTCAATTAACAGTTTTGTTCTTCGCATCTCCAGATGGAATTAAAAATAAAAAAATATATATGACAAATAGTATTTCATGGGATTATTAACGATTTTCTGGACGATTTTCTTTTTTTTTTTCTTTTTGCATATGAAATTTGAGAGCGGTTAATCTTTTTGTCAGTTAAGAATAGAGGAAAAATTGATGAAAAGAAATTCTTTATAAAAAACACATGCTAAAGTAAAAATATTGTGGCGAATCAAAATTGTATATCTAGTCCAAAATTCAAAGTTGTTCCTTTACCAATTTTATTACGTACTGTTACACTGCTAAAAAATAGTGAATTAAATGTTATATTGATAACCATGCACTAAAATACGTGTAAAAATTTATTAGTCTTATTTTCAAGTGTCTATGTATGATATGTTGATATATATTTATAAAATTACTTATACAATTAGGAGACTTTAAATATAAAAACTAATGGTTTTTCTTCATGCAAATTAATGTATTAAAATTCAAGTCTCCATGTTTATTATTTATGGAGATTATTAAACGCAAATAGCCAACACACTAGAAGTTAAGCTTAAAAATATAAAATATAACATGTAACTATGCATAAATGGACATACTCAAATGGAGTAAATAAATTAAATATAAATATATAAAAACTCTTAAAACAGTGGGAATATTGTTATTTTTGGTTATTGTATAACACATATACTTTTCATTAAATGTAATGGACGATGTTCACACGTCATTTCATCTGTCATGAATTTAATCAAACATCTGGTAATCACATTTAACACATCCTGCCCATTCTCACATTTTAATTTTAATACACAAAGATTTACTAAAATTTTGATAATTTCATATCAAATAGAATACGGTTCTGATGCTTTGTAGAGATGAAATATAACTTTTTTTACCACACTAGGATGAACAGAAAGTGTCACTGTTGGAAATGGAGTTAAATGTATTTTGCAAATTCAAATCAGGAGTTAATAATTAATACTGAGACTGGTGTGTGCTTTTGAATCTATTTTATTTATTTTGTAGAACTTCCGAGTCTAACACAAATGAATAGGTTTCAATACTTATATACATTCTCATGATGATCTTTTATCTAATGCATATATAGGACAATTTATAATGCGTCATTTTAATATTTTTACAAATTGTGTATTACTATTAACTAAACATATAACGAATGAGAATCGTTTTATTTTCATAGAACCTGGTAACATGGATATAAATTGTACTTTTTCACGATAATAGAAACGTAACAAAACATTTTTAAAATGATTATATGTCTTACACGCGTATTTGTTTCATACGGGATATGTATCATTTTGTTTTCCCTTCAATTTACAGTCCATATTCAAGTTTATCTATTATTTTATTTTACGACAATATCATCTTTGCACTTATGGTATTATCTATATCATGTCCTTCTTTGATAATGGAGAGAGTTTTAATGGCAGCGAACAAGTTATAATTATAATGAATAGATTGATAAGGTGCCTATTGGCTTCTTTGAACTCAGTACATACAATAAATAAATTGCCAAATGTTGTTTGGCTCTTTTTATGACTACATTGTCTGTTTTTATAGTTGTTTCATATAACATTATTTATATACCAAAAATCCGGCATTATTTCCACAAACTATTTTTAAAATTCTTAATTAAAAATGTTTTGTAAAGCCGTGTGCAAAGTGGAGTCCCAAACATATTAAACCACGTCTTTTCCTATGATATATGCATTTTTTATGAACATATGTTAACATAAACATATTGCGTTGTTACCAAATAATATTTAGCTGATAAAATGGACTCTTTGAGAGAATAATACCAAAACTTCCACTCAACCGAAAATATTTATTTAAAACCTAAAGCCACTTCCCGTAGAATAATAGAAGTTAACCATTATAGACCAATCGGCGCGAACCTTTTTGTGGCGTTAGAGTTTGGAAAAAGGCAGAAAACTATTATATTTAATTGGCAATCGGATAATATTTAGTGTATGAAATGAACTATTAGAATCTTTGTGTGAATAATACCAAACTTTTCCACTCAACCCCAAATATTTTAAACCTAGCACCACTTTCCGTAGAATAATAGAAGGTTACTATTATAGACCAACCGGAGCGAAACTTTGCATGGCGTTAGAGTTGGTGAATAATACATTTCCTCTAATGGAAAATATTTGTTTTGTTTCAGATTTAAGTTTACTAAAATTGAGCTCGAGGTCTTTGTTGTTTTTTAATAATATTTATTTATTATTTTCGATATTTCGTCCTCCGACGGACGACATCATCAGGAACAATACTTAAACATATAACAAGAATATAAAATCTCGCCAATTACCAACATCGACCTTGTGTTGCTGTCATCTGTTTTGTCACTATGGTGTTCTCTTCTTATTGCATTTTATTTATTATACCCTCCACCATACTATGGAGGGTATATTAACTTTGTCATTCCGTTTGTAACTCCTCGAAATACTCATGTCAGACCCAACAAAGTGTATATATTCTTCATCAGCGTAAAATTCTAAGTCGATTTAGCGATGTCCGTCTGTCTGTCTATCCGTCTGCTTTAATCACTCTATATTTCGAACTAATTAATATAGAAGGCTAGAATTTTGCACACAAGTTTGTTTTTCCAGTAGGCAGGTTAATTTCGTAAATGGGAAAGTGTAGGTCCACGTTTTCATATAGCCCCCATATAACGGTACCTCCCGATATTCGGTATTTTGATGATTTTAGCGGCATTATTTAACGGAATTGTTTTAAATTTGGTATTTGAAGTTCGAAATGGATACTACAGCCTAAGATAGATAATTGTCTGTGCAGATCCTCGTCTTCGTATAGCCCCCCTATAACGGTACCTCCCTATATTCAATATTTTGGTGATTTTAGCGACATTATTAATCGGAATTGTTTTAAACTTGGTATTTGAAGTTCGTAGTGGACTACAGCCTATGACAGAAAATTGTCTGTGCAGGTCCAGGTCTTTGTATAGGCCCCATACATCAGTACCTCCCTATATTCGGTATTTTGACGATTTTAGGTACATACCCACCAGAGGGCTGCAACGAGTATGCAAAAATTCAAGCACACTCGGTTTCTTACAAATTTTTGTTGATGCTGTCGTTTAGTTTGATCTGTATGAAATGGCCGTTTTCGCTTCGCTTCGGATCGAATCGAACGCTCAGTTTGAATCACTTCGCTCACAATCAAACATGAGTGTTCGATACGGTTTTATGTGTTCAGCAACATGAGTTGATCGAACACATGAAGTGTAGGTCCACGTTTTCATATAGCCCCCATATAACGGTACCTCCCGATATTCGGTATTTTGATGATTTTAGCGGCATTATTTAACGGAATTGTTTTAAATTTGGTATTTGAAGTTCGAAATGGATACTACAGCCTAAGATAGATAATTGTCTGTGCAGATCCTCGTCTTCGTATAGCCCCCCTATAACGGTACCTCCCTATATTCAATATTTTGGTGATTTTAGCGACATTATTAATCGGAATTGTTTTAAACTTGGTATTTGAAGTTCGTAGTGGACTACAGCCTATGACAGAAAATTGTCTGTGCAGGTCCAGGTCTTTGTATAGGCCCCATACATCAGTACCTCCCTATATTCGGTATTTTGACGATTTTAGGTACATACCCACCAGAGGGCTGCAACGAGTATGCAAAAATTCAAGCACACTCGGTTTCTTACAAATTTTTGTTGATGCTGTCGTTTAGTTTGATCTGTATGAAATGGCCGTTTTCGCTTCGCTTCGGATCGAATCGAACGCTCAGTTTGAATCACTTCGCTCACAATCAAACATGAGTGTTCGATACGGTTTTATGTGTTCAGCAACATGAGTTGATCGAACACATGAATATAAATGAGCAATCACGACCGTGATTGTCTTCTTTGAATCGAGTTCGTTTAGCGTCATTGTTTATTCAACCATTCAATCAAGTTGGGGCAGTTTATTTTGACTTTTTTAATATTTGAAATGGAAGAATATTGTGGTAGTGTGACCGAAATTGTTGCAAGTAGAAACTACACACGTG